TGATATTAATGTTTATTCATAACCTGTGGGGGCATACCATCTGGCATGACTACGTTTACCGTCAGAATGAAGCATGACTGGTAGACTTGCGGGTAGTGGGGATTGCGCGAAAAGAGGCAACACCTCACTGCCAGATCTCACAGCCTATCACTTCCAAACGAGTGAGCTTTTGACGCAAAACATCAGTGACCAGGGGCATGATCCGAGGGTTAGTTGGGTACTTTAGATACCCTAGCAACTATCCGGCAACGGCTTGGATTTTAAGCGCCACTGCTGCCACCAAGGGAGTTCTCATGGATGTATGTGGCGTAAGGTAAGTTTAGCCCTTGCAGTCGGACAAATAATGGAGGACCATGAAGTTGCAAATGTTGTAAGGTAGTGGGAAGTTGACCGTGCCTTTTACACATTTTTATCGTATGACCTAACGTGTCTATCTCTCCCCATTACAGGTGCACCCGACGGGCCCCAGACAAGGAACAGTGGTCCCGTTAAGTGACCTTGAGCTACTGATATGTCTGTACTTGACATGGGCCTGGAGTTTCGGTTTCAATATACGCAAATTGTTGCTTCGTTCCGGTCTTCTCTCCTGCGTAACCTGTTCCGTACGAATGTTTGCTCTGGATGCTTTGTGGTTCCGATGATATCAATTTCCCTAACTGCATATGGGGGGGCCTGTAACAGCCACCATACCTGGATCGAATGGGTGCGCCATGACGGCAGTTCTGAAGACTTTTAATGGTTCTGTAGCCAGGGATATATGCAATGCATGTTTCAATAAGTTCGTGAAAAGTAGGCGTTCAATCATCGTAGAGGACAAATAACGTGTGAGGTGTGGCTAGAGTTGATTGCATTATTTTTGCCCATCATTGTTGCTGGTGCCCGGTGCTGGGTTAAGGTAGCTCATGTAAAACCAAAATGACCCTACTGATTCCTTCGAGTGAACGTTCCACTTATTGATCCTACTATGTTCTGCGTCTACCTCATAGATTAGCTATGCATGCTTAACTCCACATACACTTCTGCTTGTTACATATCAAATCAATTTTGACGAAATTTGCGCGCATTTTTTGACTGCTGGAGATGTAACGCAGTTGAAACTCGACTGTATCTGTATGCACGTCTATCACATGAGCTTATGTGTCTCTAACCTCCCTCTCTCCCTGTTGCAGGTACCATGGTCGAACCACCACGAGCCCCGGACGGGAAAGAATAGCCGCTTGTACAACCACCCCCCGGACTGACCTTGACCGGCCCCCATTTGATTGTACTTTCTTCTTCTTTCCGGTTTCGGTTCGGGTAAATACACGTGCGTTGTTGCTACACTCCGGTCTTCTTCCCTGTACCAACTGACCTGTGCGCATGTGTGCTGTGCATACTGTGTGGATTCATTAATACCAGTCCGTATATCTGCACATTTCAGAACTGACGTGTGCCGTCCTCTCGAACGTCGAATACCGCTGACTTCCCGACATCCCACGCTACA